AGCTAAAAATCAGTATTAAATAAAGCTTAAAGTCCAAGAGACAAAGGCAGGTATAGCTAAATCTAATCTCAAGTATCGCTGAAAGTGAAGATATGCATCTTATCCAAGCAACTTCCTGTATTGTAAGTTTTCAGTTAGCTTCTATACATTCTTACACTCAGAAAAAAAATCTGACATACGGAAATATTATTTAGCACCTCACTACTTCCTGTAATAAAGTGACAACCAGTTGCATTATCAGTTCTACCAGAGTGCACTACAGAATCGCATGGTTCAAATTAGGTTAAACCATTATATTTGTACTCAGCTGTTTTTTCATTGCTGCTTGCTGTATAAAGAAAAAAATCCATCTGTAAGTCGGAATATTTGTACACTACGCTTGGTCTACAGTTAATGGTCTGCAACAGAGTGGCACAGGTATAACCTGCACTAGTGTATTAGGTCAGAAGACTTATAAGGTAAAGGTAAGCAAATTCACATTCAGCTTCCCCTCAAAGTAGTAACACGTACAACATACTCTTCTTGCACCACTTTCATCTCTCAAACTCATTTCTTACCCCTAGAAGCTCCATCTTGCTTAGAGACAACCCTCAGCCTCCTTTTCCCCTTCAGCGGCTCACGTGTTAAGCACAATAACCTGACTTAACACTGCACTGATGCCAGAGTAAGAATGCCCAAGTGACACACCAGCAAGAAGATCCATTTGTGAAGTGGAACTGCTGACCGACCAACCTGCCCTTTCTGTCAAAGAAATATAAAGGACAGGAGTGATTGAGCACACAATGGACAACCAGTACAGTTCTCCAGTGCACACACCTTACCAGGAATGCATTTTCAACTAATGTAAATATCTTTCTAATAACAGCTTCTAAATCATGCTTCCTTTAAAAGATGACACTGTCAAAATGAAAGGAGGTAAGTCTTCACATGTCAATAATACGCAGCTCGAAAGAGAGCCTAATTACCTTCCATATCATCAAGTGCACTTTTGTATTTGAAAAAGTTCCTAATTTCAATGACAGAACACAGAGCAGTAATTCTAGACACTAGACTTTGCAGTCCAGCAAGTGACAGCACCACCCTGTATTGTTCTGTGAACCAGAAGTTAAATGACAGTCTTGATTTAAAACCAACTCAAACTGAAACAGGGACTCGGAGAATGACACATTACCCCTAAGATTTGACTTTTACAGTCAACTCTGTGAGTCTTGCTACCTTTGGCATAAGAGCATTACCACACACAGATAAACTTAATGCAACAGGAAAAGGCACCATGTATTAGCCACAATGTTACCTGGACTGTACAGAGGTGACAAAAGACTGACCGTTCAGAAATGTAATTCAAAAGACTAACCAGTAACGTGATTGTACAGGAGGAATTACTTTAATTTAAAAATAGAAAACAGCAGCAGTAACCACTTTTTCCAAATCCTACCTACTTAAAGACTATTAAAGCACTAACCCTAACTACTACTACTACACCTAATTTATGAGATGTTCTAATGACAACAGTAGGAGGCACACTTGACCGAGACTAACTAGAGTTGGGATGAATATATACAATGGGAATAAAAGTGTTTGAAGGCTAACACTACACGAACAATTTCCTTGCAGTTACTGACGCTGAGGACCAGCCCTAAACAGTTGCTGCTGAACTCTTCACAACTCCACTATGCCCACGTCAGGGCAGATATTTCACACTTAAATACCTGCATCCAATATTTAAACTAGGTTCAGTTACAGTTCACTTCTTATAGACATGCCGCAAAGTAAACCAGGATAGTCTATCAGTCACACCTTAGTTGGGATTTCGTTACACATCTATGAACAACTTTGAAATACTCAATTCCTTCAAGTCAAATCATCTCATCTTCCACAGATTAAGAAAAAACAGAGTCTTGGCCTTGCCAGAGATACTAACACCACCATTAGACTATCAGCTCTTTCTCCTGTTTCCTCCACAGTTCAGTTCATCAAGCGTAGGGGGCATTACAACACACTTCAAGCGCTTCTTAAGGACCTGGACCAATATTCTCCACAGTATCACCAGCAACTCAGGAACCCAAGCTGCATTTGATAAACAGCACTCAAACTCCCTTTGAAAGGAAGCATATTGATATTCTCAGATTTTACACTTTATTGTTACAGAGTATACACTTAAAAATTAGGTACAGTTGCATTGTTCAACATTAAGTAGTCATTCTGCCAGAGAGCACCACAAAGTCTTCTGTGCTGTCCTTCATCCTTGATTCCTACAACAGAATTTGCTCCAATACTTAAATGCCATCATTTAAGTGAGATGAAAGCAGATGACATCTTGTTTCCATCCAAACAGATTTTAAGAAACTGAAGAATTTGAGGTATGCTAGAAAAGCCTTAAAAGAACATACGTCCAAAGACTCTGCAAAAATACAAAGTATTCTCACTCCATTCTGTTACACATCTTTCAATCAAGAACTGTGATACGCCTTTATCAACTTTGGACAAGCCAGGAGAGGAACAACTTAGTCATGACGATCATGCTAAGCAGCCTCATTGCAGCAGCACTACAGCAGCCCTGTTGAGAAGACCCATGGGGAGGTTGGACACCTAGGATGCCTACACTCACGAGCATGATTACAGAGAAGAAAAACTCTTCTACTGCTAAGGAACATTATTTCAAGACAATTAAAGTAACCATCAGTTAGTTATAGTAGGCGTAATATAGCATGGAAGAAAAATAATTCACATTTCTCTAATAAAATAATTATGCTTTGAAGGTTTAATTAATCCTCATACCTTGGGATTCTGGAAAACCAATGACACCTAAGTTTCAGTCCATCTTTGTGAACCCAGACTGTATTTTGATACAAATCATGTATAATGAACATCACTAACCTGTCAACAACTATGTTTTCCTAGATAAGGAAGAAGAGGATGTACCCATCATACCAACAAATACCAAGCTCCTCCTTTTATTTCTAGATGCAAACAATAAAACAGGACTTAATCTTAAAATATTTTATTAACTGTAGAGTCTAGCTCCTCTAGTAAATACTATTAACAACTATAAAATGTATATCCCTGTTTCAAACTCAACATTTTGTGCATATCCAGCCTCCTGAAGAGAGGAAAGCTACAGCCTTCAGAATAATTTGACCCACAAGGCACTCCTGCAACATAGTTAACCACCAAGCAAGACATCAAATATTTCCCCCTTGCAAATATTTTCATTCATACTTTTTGCAATCTGTCATTTGAGATACTACTCATTAAATTCTTCAATCAATTGAAAGCTCAGCAACATGTCCTTTATAAATGAGCTTCTTTATTAAATTACATCAAAGAAGGTGCTTCTTTAGACAGTTTGTCCACATGGTACTAATGATGATTAAGACACTTCAACAGATACAACATTAGTGAAAAGTGACTGATGCCAAGCTGACATGAGTTTCCAATCAGTAAGTAAAGTGCGAAGATTAAAACAAATTTCAGGGATTAAAATCAAGGAACTCCAAAATTGCAAAGATTAAAATTTCAAATAGAAGTAATATGATTTTGGCCTATTATTAACCTCCTCTCAATTCGAAGTGGATGTGAAAAGCTTATGCAGAGCCCAACACTGGATCATTTCACTTCTTTCAATTTAAAATTAATACTCAAAAGACTGCCACAGTAAGCACATGGCTCGTGTGGACGAGTGGAGCATGCTTAAGGGTCACAAAGAAAACTGGAAGCTCACTTACACAACCAGTAAGTGTAGAATAATGGCAATAGCACAATCAACCAAGATACTAGCAGAATGCTTGAGTAATCATCCAAAAGCAAAGATGAATACAAATACAGAGATCTCTTCATGAATCCTCTCAGTTTGACTGGAATAGATATAAAATTGCTTTTGAGGGGAAGAGAGTTTTGGTACAGTGACTGCAATCAATCATTTGTGAGTAGCTAACTGCTTAAAAACCCCTCAAAAGACTTCTGGAATTTTGACCCAATGCTCTTTTGTCTGCCCTAAATGGAACGGGATCACACACAACAATAAAGCCATACTACATGAACACCTCTATATAACACACCAAAACCCAACACTAATAAGCAAGCACTATCCTTTTAATTTAATGGTGAGGCTTCAAAAGCAAACTACTACACTAGGTATTTGTTCCTGGTACTCCAAGCTCTTCCCACTTTTAAGGTTGTTGCACAGTAACTCATGTCTTGGTTATACAAGCTCTGACTCGCATGGAACTAAAGGTGTTCTTGCCATCATTAGACTGAGCTTCTAGAGAACTCTGCCTCTGCTCAGCCCAGAAACTTGGTAGTGTCTTTGTCCAGTGCAATCCACCAGACATTTGGAAAGGCTAAACTTCATTGGGCTTTTTTTAAGGCTTCAGATAGGCGATAATTACTTTCTTCCTTTCCTTATGCCTGTTAAGAAGTGTGAAACCTAGGACTTAGAACAAAGAAAAAAAAAAAGCTTTGCAAAACTAAACAATGTGATGCACTACATGACTGCGTATACTCTAGGCTTACCAGGTACGAGAATCTACCACCACAAACATATGAAGTGTCTGTGAAATTAATATTTTACTATTTATTTTTTTCCTAAGAAAAACACCTAAACGAATTTTGAAGAATTAAGGCTAACTCAAGCTGACACTCACTCATACTTTTTCACTCAGACTCCCTGAAGCTGTGCACAAGTATTTTTACAATCCTCCAAGCTACCTTTTGGAGATGGACAATGCAAGACACTGTAACAAACAGAACTGTGGTGCATCTTCTGATGATAAGGCTAAAAAATCATTCAGAGAGCAGGGTATTTAAAAGAATTAAAAGGCAAACTGACTCCAAGGAAAGGCTGCACCTTTCTTCCAAAGCAGTGCCTCAGGTAAGGTCTGCAGCTCCCTGTCTGAATAAAGCAGACCTCGAGTTGATAGATTTTACCTCCCTCAAGCACACAGCCTAGCACCTGGGAGAGTGACTGCACTTTGGCAATTCACCATTTTTATTTATTTTACCTGCAGCTCGCACCAGGCGACTTCCACAGTGGTATCCGTATCCAGTCCTTTATACACAGTTTTGAAAGAGCCTCTTCCGATCTCGATGTCAAACTTCAGGAAGCGGCCATCTGGGGAGATGCCCACCGCCTTGGTCTCAAGCTCTTCGATGTCTTCCTGCTGCGTTCTCCGCTCCTCAAATTCCCTGCTGGCGGCCGAGGCGCTGCCAGCCACACTGGTGGGGGGTAACGCAGTCGCCTCGTCCTCCTCCTCCTTGGGCAGCAGCGGGGCGGCATCCTTCGGGGCAGAGGGCTCCTGAGCGGACTGTCCTTCGAGGGGAAGCGGGGCGGGCGGTGGGGGCTGCTGCAGCAGCGAGGGGGCCTGGGCGGCGGTGACAGCGATGGAAGAAGTCCGGCTGGCACACTCGGGAGGAGAGACCAAGGGAGCGGCGCTGCCTCCCGAGACAGGGGCCGAGGGCGCTGCGGGCTGCAAACTGGGTAGCTCCAAGGCCGTAGCGTTGGAGTCGCAGATCACGCTACGGCGGAAGAAGCGGTGCTCGGTGGCTGCCGCCCCTCGGCTGTCCTTGTCCATGGTGTGGCGGCGGCGCCGGTACTCCTCGCTACGGCCTCCGCTCCCGGCTCCGCCGCCTGCTGCACCGGCTCCGGTGGCTCCGTGGTCGGCGGCGACGGCGGCTCCCAGTTTCTCCCCGATGGAGCTGTCCGAGCTGGAACCGTTCTTAGGCGGCGGCGGCGGGGGGACCAGGAAGCGAGGAGCCGGTGTGCCGCTGTCTGCGGCGCCCCCCGACATCGTGCCCCGGGGGAACGCTGCGAGGGCGAGGCGGCGGCGGCGGGGATGGGGGGGGGGAAGCGAGGGAAGGGGCCGGTCACTGAGCGGGGAGCGCGCCTGTCCGCGGCTGCCGTTGCAGCTGCAACAGAGGAGGGTCCCAAGGGCTCCTTACGGCGGAGCTGGGAGGCGGCTGCTGGGGAGGTTGGGCCGGCGGGGTGGATCCCCGGTCAGTGTCTGCATCCATCCTGCAGCGGGGAGCCGGGCAGCGGGGCCGACATGGAGCAACCAGGAGCGGAGAGACGGGAGGGGGGGGGGCACGGGGATGGGGAGGGAAAAAACCCAAGCACCGGGCCCGGGCGGGGCGGGAGGCGCCCCGAGGCAGGCCCCCGACCGGGGGGAGAAGCCGGTGCCTCGCCCGGCTGCTTTAAGGCGAGGGGAGCGCGCTGCAATTATTCCCCGGCGATGGAGAGAAAGCGGGGCCGGTCCGGGCGCGCCCCCCCCCACCCGGAGCGAGGGCCTGCGGGAAGGGGATGGGAAGGGAAAGGGGCCGGGAGAGGAGACAGGGAGAGGGGGGCCAGGCCCCGCACGCCGTCCGTGGAGGAAGCTGCCGCGCTCAGTCACTCGCACCGGGCGGGGGGGGGGAAGGAGGGAAGGAGGCCTGGGCAGGCCTAGCGCTCTCACCCCTTAGCGAGGGGGCAGGGAAAGGGGGGCGCGGGGGCTCAGCCCCGCCTCAGAGGGGCGCCCATAGCGGCCGCGGCCTCCACCTCCCCGGCAGGCAGCCACCGCCCGCGCGCGG